CACACACACACACACACACACACACACATATACACACACACATCCAGAGCCCCTTGACAGGGATTCTCATCTCCACCCTCCCCAGGAGCGACCCACAGGCCTTTCTGACTTCCCTTCCCTTACAGGACAACCTCTCCGTGCCTCTCTCAGAGGAGGACCTGGATGGCTCCTCGGGTGTGCTGTTTCCCTTCTACGACGCAGACACCAGCATGCTCTACGTGGTGGGGAAGGTCAGCCTGTCTTGGGAGGGAGGTGGCTGCCTGCACCGCTGAGGCAGGAAGCAGAACTACCCCAGCGCGGCCCTGCCCGTAGCCAGACAGCAGCCTGGCGCCCTCAGCCTGCAGGGCAGGGATAGGGACAGGTGGGAGGTACCGCACACTCTGGCCCTCTGGTGAGCACAGCACCTGGCCCACCTTCCTGGCTCTCTAGGAACACCTAGGGCCATGGCTTTGGTCAGACACCCCAAGCTTGTCCCTCTTCAGCTCTGGATCCAGATGACGAGGGACCAGTTGGTGTTCCTCAATAAGGGCATCTTCAAATTTGGGGTGGAGCAGGTCTTCATTAGGTAGGACCATCATTTGGCATCCCAGCTCCTACCCGCCAATGCCAGGAGCAGCCTCCACCCTCCCCAGTTATTATGACAACAACCACCAGAAGTGCCCCAGGGCACCAAGACCCGCCTGATGGCCTCAGCGCCTGCCACTTCTGACCTTTTTGTGAGGCTGGCAGTGAGATTCCTGCCTGTGCTCCCCCACCGAGCTTCTGCCTTGGAGGCGCATGGGTGGGCTTTGGATCATGGTTGGGGGGATGGGATGTCACAATGAGGCCCCCCAGTGCCTTGGCGATAGTCCCCTGGTGTTTTCTTGTGTGAAGAGGCTTTGCCAGCTCACCGCTGCGTGGCGACAGGGGTCAGGAGCGGGCCGGTGGGAACTGGCTCTGAGCGCACCCTCCTGCTCCTCAGGGAGATGGAAACATCCGCTACTATGAAGTGAGTGCCGACAAACCTCACCTGAACTACCTGACGGAATACCGCTCCTACAACCCCCAGAAGGGGATTGGTGAGTGTGGTGTGGCGCACTGAGGCCACGTGGGACCTGGGGAGACAGGAACGAGTCAGAGGAGGGGCCTGCCCTGGAGGGGCCCACATCTGGGAGGGGAGATGATAGATCAACACTGACTCTACGGGAGGCCTGATGGAGGTGTACAGGAGGTCCTCCGGGAATGTGCAGCGGGAAGTCAAGGAGGGCTTCTCAGAGGAGGCAATACTTGAGGAGTCAAAGGGAGAACAGAGCACAGCATGGGGAGAGCATGAAGGTGTTGTAGGCCGAGGTAGAACAGTTACAACAGTAGCCAGGATGTAAGAGAGACTGACCTAGGAGAGCCCCTACTTTTTAAGTGTGTTTGCAAAAAGACAAAACAAGATGCGACTATATGTGGGCTATAAGAAATCCACTTCAACATGAAGACACAGATTGAGTGCAGAGGGAAGGAGAAAGAGACCACGCTAACACTAATCAGAAAACGGGGGTAGAGCTCTGTTCAGAGCAGCTGGGGCCAAGCTGTGGGGGTGGTCACGGAGGGCCTTGAGCAGAGCATGCTTCCTATAAAAGCCAAGCTAAAATCACCGCGAAGTCCTTGAAGGTGAGGACAGAGTCTCATTTCCCCAGCACCGTGTAGGTATTCGTTCATGAACTGTTTGTAGAGGGAACGGTGGCGGGAGGAGGGTACTCTGCTCACGTCCGGGTGTGCGACCTGGCTTTGCCACTCACACCGGGGCCCCTGTGACCGCAGCCCAGCCAGAACCTCTTAGCCCTCCTTGACCATCTGCCCGCAGGTGTCATGCCAAAGAGAGGTCTCGACGTGTCCTCCTGCGAGATCTTCCGCTTCTATAAGCTGATTACAACCAAAAACCTCATCGAGCCTGTATCCATGATTGTACCCCGGCGGGTAAGGGTGGTGGCAGCCATCTGTGAGGGAGGCAGGAACCCCTCCTGGAGAGAACAGGCCCCGGACCTGGAGCCCGGAGCCCAGGCCCCTGGGGCAACAGCAGGGAGGCTGAGGGCCACTCCTCAAGGGGAAGGCCTTCCTCATTGTCAGTGCAGTGTTGCTGCCTAAGCCTCGCCCTATCTCTGCTCTTGAGTTGCTGTGTGACCTTGGCCATGCCCCTTTGCTCTCTGGGCCTTGGTTTCCTCAACTCACAGGTGGGGAAAGCCCGGACCCCAGCTCCCTAAGGGCCCTCCCGTCTGGGCAGCCCCTTTGCCATCCCAGCCCTCACTGTCCTGGCTTCTCCTGCAGTCGGAGTCTTACCAAGAGGACATCTACCCACCCACGGCAGGAACCCAGCCCTCTCTGTCGGCCCAGGAGTGGCTCTGTGGGATGAATAAAGGTGAGGGAGGCTGAGAAGAGGCCCGGGGCAAACGTGCGGGGAAATAGAGTGTCTAGTGGCTGAGCTCAGCTAGAGTGTCTAGCTGAGCGGGGTCTGGCCTCTAGTTGTGTTCGCCCGTAACCCTGGACAGGTGGTCCTCGACAGTTGGTCCCCAGGGACTAGGATGGTCCGAGAAGGGAGGCGTTGCCCCAAGTGGCTCAGGAAACTCTTCCAAATCAAGGAATTTTGTTCCATGGAAAACTTCTTGAAACTCCAGGCTGTGCAGAGTGACTGGAGAGTCTCAGCCGATGCCCCTGCCTTTCCTCCCATCCACATGGGTGCATTGCTCTTCGACCTGAGAGACCCTCTGGGCAGCAGCTGCCCCACCCCACCTCAGGCCCTCCTTCCCTGTGCTGACACCCTCCCTGTTCTCTCCACCTGAGGGCCAGCCCAGGGGAGGCTGTGTGTGGTCCCTAGCCCTGCCCCAGCAGCTGCCTGTATGACTGGGACGTCCCTGTCCTTCTGCCTCTCCGCTTTGGGCAACACTTGCTCTGCTGCTCTCTGGGCCTGTTGCCTCCTCTGTGACTGTGATACCTGCCTCCCCTGCTTCTCAGGGCTGCTGGGAGGATTCATGAACTGGTAGACGGCAGAGCACAATGCGTGTGGGACTGTGCCCACAGAGCAAGGGCAGAGCTTCACTGGAGGCACTCACGGTGTTTAGGGGCAGCTCCAGGGTGTGCACTGTGCTGCTCCTACAAACCGGGCATCACCTAGATGATCACACGTGTGCGTATGTGTGTGTGTGTGTGCTCTCCTGGTGCCCTGGTGTGCAGGCTGGTGTCTGCGTGTGGCCAGAGCTCCATTTCCATCACGTGACTGTGCGTGTCTGCGTGTGGCAGCATCTGCTCATGGACACTCAGTCCTCATGCAGCCCTTTGCTTCCCTCCCAGGGCCGGTCCTGGTGTCCCTAAGGCCAGGCTCCGAGGAGCTGAGCTCCCAGCCACCACTCCCAGAGAGACCCCCCTCCCTCAACCGGACAAAACAGTTGGTTTTAGGAGATGGCCAGAGGCCCTTCTCCCTGCCGGAGGGGAAGATGCCAAGGAGGGCAGCAGAACACAGGCTGGAAGAGAAGAAAACCCGGCTCACAAACCTCACAAACGGCTTTGACGTCTTCGAGTGTCCCCCACCAAAGACAGAGAACGAGGTGTGAACGAGGGGTGGGGGCTGTGCTTGGAAGTGGGGGAGAAAATGAGGGGTGAGAAAAACAACCAGCTGTGTGCCCTGGCCTGGCCACTTAACTCACTTTGTTAATTCATTCAGCAGACAGGCAGTGAGCGCCATCTGTATGCCAAGACGGTGGGTTTGCATATAGATGATAGTGGAAGACCATCTATGAAATGCAGAGGGTTTGATCTGGCATCAAAGTCCTTTCCAGTTCTGACACTAGGATTTTCTGTGCTTTCGGAGTCAACTTGTGTTAAGTGCCTACCGTGTGCTGGGTCCTGCAGTAGGCACTGTGGTATATAACCTCCCTGAATTCTCTCCAGAGCCCTGGGAGTCAGTAGGTAGTGGGTGAAAACACAGGGACTGGCATCTCACAGCGGAATTCTGATCCTGGCTCTGCTAAGTACTGACTGTAGGACCTCAGACCCAGGGGCCGAGTCTCTCTTAGCCTCAGTCCCCACAGTGGTACAATGGAGTGCTGACACCCCCCTCGGAGGGGGTGTCATGAGCATCCAGTGGCATCCGGAGATCCTTAGGTGGGGGGCACCCAACGTCCAGTTGCATTCTATACAGCGCAGCAACTATGTTAATGCCGAACTTAGTTTTCTGGCCCCCTAGTTCCTAGAGGAGGAAATTGAAGCTCAGGGAGGGTAAGTAACTTGCCTGAGGCCACCGATTTTAGCAGTGGTGAAAAGTCCAATCTCCAGACTTCGGGGCCAAGTATCCTTTTCTCTGTGCCACAGGGGGTCTAAGGATGCAAAAAAAAAAAAAAAAAAAAAAAAAAAAAAAAAAAAGTCTGAAAGATCAAGTCTTTTAAAGTTTCATTTCTTGGGTAAAGACAAGGTTTTTAAAATTTTTTTTTAATGTTTATTTATTTTTGAGAGAGAGAAAGAAACAGAGTGTGAGCCAGGGAAGGGCCGAGACAGAGGAAGACACAGAATCCAAAGCAGGCTCCAGGCTCTGAGCCGTCAGCACAGAGCCCGACGTGGGGCTTAAACTCACAAACTGTGGATCATGACCACAAACATGTGGATCGAACGCTTAACTGACTGAGCCACCCAGGCACCCCAGACAAGGTTTTATAAAAGATCTGTGCAATGGTTGCTCCCTCAGGCCTCAGCCGTGGTAATCACCTCCATCTTTCTGAGTGAAAAGGGAGCAACATTTTGTCCTTCCTGCTGGTGTTCTGGCCCCTCCCATCCTGGGGCACCGAGTGACATTTCTCTCTGTTCTGTACTTTCCCAGCTGCTGCAGATGTTTTATCGGCAACAGGAGGAGATCCGGAGGCTCCGGGAGCTGGTGACCCAGCGCGAGGTCCAGGCCAAACAGTTGGAACTGGAGATCAAAAACTTGCGGATGGGCTCAGAGAGGTTCTGAGCGGAGATGTCTGCCCTCCTCGCCCTCAGGGACACCACTCGGCTCCATGGGGAGGTCCAGAACCAAACCACAAGTCCCCCAACAACAACCACTATTTCTATATTTTTTACCAGAAAATGAAACTCTCGGTCGCTGGAAGATTCTAGTGGGAGGGACGTGGTGCCGTTTTTCTATTTGCCTTCTCAAAACAACACTGTCTGAATCGACTCTTTGTAGACGATATCTTGCCTTCTGGTTAATTCTGTTTTTAAGGGTCCACGATGAGCTGTAACTTCTCAAGGGAAAGAACATTGTACAAAGTTAGAGCTGGAAGGCCCTAGGAGATTTTCAAACCGGGGTCCATAGAACGAGAGGAAGGCTAGGCAGGAGGGCTGTGCTCCCCCCCACCCCGTTCCAACCACACAGCTCCCCTTCTCTCTGATTTATATATTGGCTTCTATGGAATACATAATTCTGCTTCTGAAAAAACATTTAGAAGTTTGAAAAACTGTGATCTGGCCCAACTTCCTCATTTTACAGGTGGGGAAACTGAGGCCCAGAGAGGGGCAAGTGATCAGCGTCTGCAGAGGGTTCATGGCAGGGCTGGGTCAAGCTTCTGGTCTGTTGGGTCGGTCTTTCTGCTGCTTCTAGTCTGAAGCAGCCCTCAGCCCACAGGGCAGAAATCCATCTGTTCTGGCCTCTTCTGTGCCCCTGACTCGCTCTGTACCTCTTTCAAGTTACTCCCTCTCTGGTCTCAATTTCTCCATCTGAACTAGGGGACCCTGGCATGTGCTGCCCTCTACAGGATCTGCCTCCTGAGACAAGAAACCTTGGTCTTGACCTGAGGAAAACTACCTATATAAGGTGATGATCTGGGTCTGCTATAGGAACTCACAAGACCTTGGTGAAAGGGCAGAGGGAGTTTAACCTCTGGGAAATAAGTCAAGGTTTGGCCCAGTTCTAGAACACGGATAGGAGACCAAAACCGTCCTCTCTTGAACCAGAATCAGCCAAATGTGGGCAGACACTATCCCTCGTGTGGGGAAGCAGACATCAGGGTGGTGCCTATGACCACTGACTGCCACCACCAAAGCCCTCAGGTCCCAGAGCCTGCCTGCTCCAGGAGGGTACAGGCAGGCTTCAGTCCAAGAGGTAGGAAGCCCCAACACTTGGCAGGATGCCAGCAGAGTCTCTGGCCACCCACTCATGCGGGCTTCTGGAGAGGGATGACTGCATTAGGCAAGGAAGTAGGGCCAAATGGCCTTGAAGTCCCCTGCCAGCCTGAGAGTTTTTAGTGTCCCTCCTTTGTGAACCTGTGTTCTGAGCCTGTTCTCTAAGGTTCTTTCTCGGTGGTCAGTACAGCAGCCCAGCTAGAAATGGGGAACGTTGGAAGTCAAATGCCACCCCCCCCCCCAACCTTACCGAGCAGGTGCAGATGATGGGTTTTGCCCACTGGACAAGGTGATCGTGGAGCTAAGATGGGGACTGCAGGAGCCCACCTGGCCTGGTAGGTTTCAACCCAAGCTGTACATTAGGGTCCTCTTGAGAGTGTTCGAGAAATACAGATGCCCCGTCCCAGCCCTAGACCAGCTGAAGCTGAATCTCCAGAGCAGGGCCTGGCTTTGTGTATGTTTTTAGAAGTTCCCAGGTGATTCTGCAATACTCTGAGGCTGGAGACCCACTGCGTTAGCCCATCTGTACCTATGTGTGGTACAGAGGGGGACAAGGAGCACCAGATAGGCTCTGGGACTCCAACCCCACCCTCTAAGTCCGGGTTGGAAGCATCATCCCACATCTCTCTGGGCCCCCCAGCTGCAACTCGATGACGTTTCTGTGCCCGAGTGCCCCCTCCCCTAGCCATGGCTTGGTCCCCTTGCCCGACTGCACGCCCCAGATGCCCACGTTCCCTATCTTGTTTACTCAGTCACTGGGGCTCGCCGAAGGCCAAATCCCAGGCACTGCCAGGGAAGCAGAGCTCCACTGGATGGGGTTACCTCTCCCACCTCATTTGTGGCCAGCACTTCACAGTTTACAAAGCCCTCCCACCTCCACTCACTGGCACATCTAACTCTAATTCTAACATGGGCCAGAATAATTCCCGTGGTCAGAATAATGATACTATCCCCATGTCCTTGTCAGAGAATGAAGAAGCATCGTGCCCACAGGCACTGGCTGCAAAGAGCTGGAGGTGGGGCTGAGCCCGGGGAGGGACCCGAATGCCTCCTCTGCACATAACCTTCTCGAGCTCTCCCTACCCCTCAGGGACCCAGACCTCATGCTTAAAAACAATATGAAGGCATCCATGAACAAAACTGTTTTTGGGTTGTTTTGTTTTGTTTTTACAACTAGGATTATTTAAATGAATTTAAGCGATTTCACAGCAAGGGAGAGGGACAGGTAATTTTTATCAAATATTTTTTTAAGCCATTTTTTTAAAATTGTGTTTTTGTTTATATTCTTGACTGATGAAGTAGAACTTGCCCAGCATCTGCAGGGTCGGGCCCTCACACTCAGGGCTAGTAGAATGTGCACTCATTTCTTTACTCCATACTCTGGGAGCCCCCTGTTGACTCAGGAACTTTCTGAGAACGAAGACAGCACTGGGAGATGAGCATTGAGGGCTACCCACCTTAGCTCTATGATAATTATTCTTCCTGATTGTATCATAGAGGGAAGAAGGAAGTCAAAAATAGATCTATGCTTTTAATATGAACCCGTGCCTGAAATAGTTTGATTGTTTTAATGTTGTTTCTGAAACTCCTTTTACCTTTGTAAAAAAAAAATTAAGAAATAAAAGTGAAAATAGATGTGAAATCGTGCAATGGCAAGAATGTAACAAAATAATAAACAACATCTGCCTAAATATTTTAATACATGGAGCTTTCCTTTTCTTGACTGGTTCCACAAATACCAATTAAGTATCTCCTTGTTTGGGCCAGAGACCAGGCTGGGAAACAGATACAACAGGAAACGGACTTGGTCCCTGCCCTCTGAAGTTTTCAGTCATGGTTGGAGGGAAGGGGAGGGCCAGGATAGGGAAAGTGTGGGCTGCTTTGGGAGGAGAAGCAAGGAAGGCTTCCTGGGGGAGGTGATATTTCGGCAGACCCCTGAAAGATAAATAGAAGCAAGCAGGGCAAAAGGTATTTGGGAAAGAGAGATCCCAAACAGAGAAAACTGCCTATTCCCTGGTCTGAAAACAAGTGAAGGGTGGAGTACAGACAGGGCAGGGATCAAGGGTATTAAGAGCCAAGGATAGGAAATGAGAATTTTTTCCAATTTTATTGAGATATTCCAATTTTATTGACAAGTTGTATATATTTAGGTTGCATGTGATTTTTTAAGGTGTACAAGCGTGATGATTTAATATATGTATACCTTATGAAATGATAACCACATTCAAGGTAATTAACATATCTGTTATATCACATAGTTACCATTTTTTGTGTGTGGTGAGAACATGAGATCTACTCTCAACAAATTTCAAGTATACAGTACAGTATTACTAACTATAGTCACCATGCTATACATTAGATCCCCCGAACATAAGCATCTTATTTTTTTTAATGTTTATTTTCGACAGAGAGACAGAGCATGAGCAGGGGAGGGGCAGAGAGAGAGGGAGACACAGAATCTGAAACAGGCTCCAGGCTCTGAGCTGTCAGCACAGAGCCCCACGCGGGTCTTGAACTCAGGGACAGCGAGGTCATGACCTGAGCCAAAGTCTGACACTCAACCGACTGAGCCACCCAGGCGCCCCAAACTTAGGCATCTTATAACTAAAAGTTTGTACCCTTCCCCCCCCCCCCCTCCCAACCCCTGGCAACCGCCTTTCTGCTCTGTTTTTAGGAGTTCAGCTGTTTGTTTTTGGTTTTTTTAGATTCCACATAAGCGAAACCAAATAGTATTTGTTTTTCTGTCTGGCTTATTTCACTTAGCATAATGTCCTCCAAGCCCACCCATGTGGCAACTGGCAGGATTTCCTTTTTTTGGGTCTGAATAACATTTCACGGTATATACACACAGCACATCGTTATCCATTCATTCATGGAAGGACATTGGTTATTTCCACGTCTCGGTTATTGTGAATAATTTTGCAAGGTGCCCACCAGTGCAGATATCTCTTTCAGTTACTGACTTCATAATCTTTCGGTATATGTACCCAAAAGGGAGATTGCTGGATCATACGGTAGTTCCATTTTTAATTTTTTGAGCAACCTCCATACTGTTTTCCATGATGGCTGTACGAATTTACACGGGTGGACTGGGAGACAGCCTGGGGGCAACGGGAGTTTCCAGTGTGATTCTGCCAGTTGTGGAAATGGTGATTTCTCCTGGGGAAAGCGCAGAGACAATCCAGGGAAAGTGAAAAGTGTCGGTAACGCACATCACCTGGGGAGGCCTCCGCCAACTTTGGCCCCACCCACAGGGCTGCAGTTTTCTGAGCATGACTGGACTCGCATCACTGAGCCGGGAAGCCTACCTCCTTTCAGTCAGCCCACGAGGAGCGAACCCCATTTCGGCGGCGGCCCCCTCAGAGCCAGTGAAGCTGCCGGAACAGGCGCAGCGGGGGAGGGCACCCCGCGGGGCCGCAGGGCACTGATGGCCGCCGCTACCCGGCGGGAGGCGCGCCCGCCTCCCTTCCTCCCCGGAGCTGGGCCGCCCCGCCCCGCCCCACCGCTCAGGGTTTCGATTCTCCGCTGGAGCCCCTCCCCGACACCGCGGCCCGAACCCGAGGGCTAAATGGCGGACGCAGGGGCGCAAAGCGGGACACCGGGGGGGCCGGGCCCCGCGAAGCTCGAGGACACGAGCTGCTGGCGCTGCCCGGAGCATAGCGACCGCGTGGTCGAGCTCTTCTGTCGCCGCTGCCGCCGCTGCGTGTGCGCACTCTGCCCGGTACTGGGCGCGCACCGCGGCCACCCGGTGGGCCTGGCGCTGGACGAGGCGGCGCACGTGCAGGTGGGAACGCGGGCGGCGCGCGGAGGCGGGTGCCCGCAACGGAGTCGGTGGGGCGTGTCGGGTGGGCCGGCCGTTTCTTTCGGTTTGGTTTGCAACCGAAGGGCGGCCCAGAGGACCTGTAGGCGGCCCACCTGCTGTCGCCAAGGATCAGTTAAGCTTCAGAAGAGGTGGGTTTCGGGAGTGAAAACTTAGGCGCCCCGACTGATCCGCAGATGTCTTTGACCTCGTCCACCACGGTGGGTCCACCACACCGCCCTTGGCCTGAAAGAAAGTCTGCCTTTAGAGAAAGTTGAAAAGCCACACAGGCATCTCTGGTTTTCTCTCCTGGAGTTCACCGACAGGGGCTGAGGACTGCCTGACTGCCTGCCCTAGGAGCGGCCTCCAGCCACCGACTCCGCCCTTCTCCTCCACGCACGTGCCCATTCCACGCATTTAACAGCCAGGTGGGGAGCTATGACAGCCATTTTATTGATAAGAAAAGAAAGGCTCTGGAAGTCGAGGCTGGCTTTGAACCCAGCACTCCACAGCTGGATTGCTTCCACTGGCCCATTCCCACCTTGGAGCCCTCACCTGTGCATAATCCTAATAGTGGTCAGGGGCTCCCGACTCTTGTTCCGGCCTTAGGGCCAACTTGTTCTGTGACTCTGGTCAAATCCTCTGCCTCCCTGAGATAGGCAGGCCCGCCCGTTTCTGGCGGATGTTGATTCTACCACTTCCTCTTGCCAGCAGTTTTTGGTGATTAATGACCTTTTTCCTCACATTGTGACAACCTTGGAGCTCCAAGGTGAGAATGGGGGGGGGGGGGGGGGGGGGGGGGGGGGGGGAGAGGGGAGTCTTGGGTTTGAGGCCTTTCTTATCTGTAAAATAACTGTAATAATAATAGCTCCTCAGAAGGCTGTTTCCAGAATTAACATGGCTGCTTCCAGAGATAGGGCTTGGGCGTCTCATAGGCAGGTCCACCCACCTACCTACCAACACACTCATTTTGTGTTCACACACCTACCCACTTACCTGTTTATCCATCATCCTTCCATCCATTCATCAAACATTCATTCGGCACACACCTTGTGCCACGAGTTAAGGAACAGATCAATTCTTCCCTGATCAGGAATTTCCTGGCTGGTGAGGTGAGAACAAATAGTGACAATACGGTGTGATAAGTATCGTAATTGGGGAGCCAGAGAGAAGACAGTATGAACTAGGAGCAGGGAGTGCAGGAAGACTTTCCAGAGGAGTGCCATTGGAACTGTCCTTGAAGGATGAGTAGGATTCCACCAGGTAGCATGACAGGTGCAGCACCATGTGACTGGGAGGCCCAGGCACCAGGAGGCTGGGTTATCTTTGGGTGACAGCAGCTAGACTTGATGGCTTAGAAATCACAGTGGGGTAGAAAATGTGCTCCCCGAATTTGAGGCTGTGGCTTCTACCTGGGTTACCATTGTGTCCTCACCCCCAGCCACGACCTAGGATACAACTGCACACAGTAGCAGATGCTTGTTGGGTGTTACAATAACAGTAAGAGCTATACCTGTTGAGTACTTACTGCCTGCCAAACACTGCACCAAGCACTTCGTGTACTTTTCACTCTCTACAGCAACGCGATGCGGTTATCCCCATGTTTATGGCTAAAGAAACAGGTTTAGAGAAGTGAGGTCACTTGTCCAGGTCACATGAAAGGAGGGCCAGGAATCAGACCTAGGAAGCCGCCTGTCCTTCTGGGGCTTATGCTCATAACAGCTTGCTGGGTGGCTCCAGCTCTCCACTTGAAGCTGGCAGCCCTTGGTCATTGTGTTTGATTCAGCAAACACTTCTGGGTCACCCCGTGATCCCCATGGCAGAGCTGGGAATGGAGCAAGCCTGCCCTCAGGGAGCTCCCAGTTGACGGGGCAGCCAGACCTGGGGCCAGCAGCTGTGTGTAAGGCCAGCTGTAAGAAGATCCGGATAGAGGCAAGCTCAAACCTGTGGGGAAGAGGCTCACAGAGCAGGCCTTTGGGAAAATGGCAATTGCAAAACAAGGAACTCTGGAAGGGAGCCATTTCAGGTGGGAGGGAGAAGGGAGCATGAACCCCCACAGACCTCACCCATGCAGGTCTTCTGAACCCCAGTTCAAGCCAAAGGGCCACAGGCTCCCTGGCATGTAATAGGTGCTTAGTTAATACTGACTCCATAAGTGAAATGCTCTTCTCCTGTCCCCAAGCTGCTTGCCTTAAGGTCCTATTTGAAAGGGTGAAAAACCAGGCCATAAGCAGGAATTGTTCTAGAAAAAAAGGGAGGGGGGATCAAGGTTGGAAGAATATCTGATGTGGGATTCTGAGGATCAGAGGGACCCTCATTCCGGCTCATCCTCCAATTTGCCACGTGACTCTGGGCCAGTCACCTCACCTCTGAGTCTCAGATACCTCAGCTGAAACAAAACAAAAACAAAATACAGGGGGAGGAGATGATCCCTGGGGTGGCTTGTTATCTCAAAAGTCACAGTATTAAGTATTAATTTTTCCTAGCTCTTTCACATACAGAAACGCATCCAAGAATGTTTAAAGCAGTTGGAAGCCAAGAAGCAGCAGCAAGTTGGCAACATAACCCAGATAGAAGAAGCTGCCGAGAAGCTCAAGGCAAGTGGACATTTCTTCCTTGTTCTAGTTGAGATGTTCACACTTCCCCTGGTACACAAGGCTCTCCTCAATATGGAGCCAAGGGAAGATCAAAACTAACCTCAAAGGGGCAGATCAGGTTTGATGGGGCTTGGGACTTCTATAATGTAGGGGACTCTTTTTAAGGAAAATGACACAAGGGGCGCCTGGATGGCTCAGTCAGTTAGGCATCCGACTCTTGGTTTCAGCTCAGGTCACGATATCACGGTTTCGTGGGTTCA